ATTCAATCAGACCCACATTTTTTTGTCACTACTTTTTTTTTTTTAACCAATCAAAACATGACTTCAGAAACCAGTGGGTGACATCACAGAAGCTACATTCATATTCTTTAACCCTAAACGTGTTGGTAAAACTACTGTGCAGTGGGCATGTCTGACTTCCAGAAGAATTGAGGCCCTGTAGTTTAGTGATGATGGGACTGCTGATAGAAGTAGCAGGATGATTATGAAGTATAGCGGGCTATAGTCTCTGCACGAATGGATAACGGCCCAAAGCAAACCCCAAGAGTAAGAAAAGTTTCTGAAATAATGCAATTCTGTTGTTAAAACTCTTGAATTAAAGCTTAAAGTCTGCACTTCAATCACATCTTGTTTGCTTGATTTTAAATCCACTTTGGTGGTGTACAGAAATAAAGAAACAAGATCCGAATACTTATGGATCTAACTGTAACTCACACAAGGCATTATGGGAGAAGGAATAAGGGAAACAATCTGATTCCTTTACACATTCTAGCTGATCACTAGAGGTTGTGAACACAAAGTGCATTCACTTGAAATGAGTGTCTAGGATATAAGCATCCACCAGAAAGATGGATCTCGTGATAAAAACGAATAAGTCAAGTTCCTGCTACTTTTATATACATACTGTATACTGCTGGATACTAAATACAAAATATTAGAAAACTGGTTACTGTTTCCATGCATGCAAGTGTGCGACACAAGCCTTTTACTTCACACAGTATGTTTATCAAAGTAGCAAGTGGGTTTTTACGGCACTCTGAGAACTGAAAATGAACACTCTGTGATTCGTGGTGGCGCGAGCAGATCTGAAGTGTTTTTGCTACATGCACTGGCATTTTTGGATTCGTACAAAAGTCGCCGCCGCTGTGACTAATTCGGCTTCATTCAAACAGTTTCTTCAAACCTGCTTTGGCGTGGCCATGCAGAAAATCTACACAGAAGACTGATACGCTTTACAGCAACTATCAAAAAAAGGTCCAGACACTCCAACAAAGCCTGGTCTGTGTAAGTGTGTGTTAGTGTGTGCTTGTGTTTGTGTGTGCGCGTGTCTGTGTGGTGGTTAACAGTGAAAGCCATTAAACACTTTTGGCAAAAGGATTACAATGTGCAACAATTACAGTGATCGACACGGTGACAAAAGGCAGAAACAAAACTGGGCATGTAGTGAGGAACAAAAGCATTTGTCCAACTCAAACACTC